CTTCCACTCATTTTTGGTCGTTTAGCTGCTAACCTCCAAGAGCCCCCGGGTGAATAAATGGACTTTTCCAGCGTGAGCTCCCTCCTTTTTTTTCCTGCTCTGCATCCTGGACATCTCATCTTTGTTTTTTTCCTGATTTAGAGTCTTAATCCAGGCTTTAAAAAGCTCAAATAGAAATGTATATAGCACATTTTCCAAAACAATGTCCCACAAGGTCCAGACTTTAGTGTAAACTTCTAAAGGAGTCGAGAAAAGCATCAGACTTTAGATTTATCTTTAATTAAAAAACACACATCGTTGGTTAGATTCCAGAGATTTAGTTTCTTATCTGATTCAATTAAAACCAGTTAAACAGCACTTGGAGAAAACATGATAGCATGACACGAGTAAGCACAGCCTGTTGGACAAGAAGAAACACCCTCATTAAGATTAAGTGTCCCAGTCTGACCCCAGTCGGATCCGAAACGGCCGATCTAAAAGCAGAGGTCTGTTTGCACCAGAGGAGACCTAAAGATTCCCCACAGAAGAACAACCTTTGTGACACTGGAATAATAAATAATAGTAGACGAAGTGCTGTTGATTGCTAATGCAGATGTAGTTTTCTGTTTTTTGTAAACACCTGTATGGTCTTTCACACGTTTGAAATAATATAAACAATATCTATCACACTTTTGACTGCCTTTTTAGTACTTGTACTTTTACTTGTACTTTTGATACTTGAGTAGCAATTTTGGAAATACTAAATGGAATAATAAATAATAGTAGATGAAAAGCTGTTGATGCTAATGCAGATGTAGTTTTTTGTAAACAGCATATGGCCTTTCACACATTTGAAATAATATAAACAATATTTATCACACTTTTGACTGCTTTTTTTATACTCAGTACTTTTACTTATACTTGTACTTTCAATACCTGAGTAGCAATTTTTGAAATACTTCTACTTGTAATACTTAAGTACAAAAAAATGGAGTACTTCCGTACTTCCACTTAAGTATGGTGTTGAAAGAATACATCTACTTTTACTCAAGTAAATTTTTTTATGTAGTACTTGTATTTGTACTTTAAAAAGTTCTGAATGGATTAGCCCCACCTCCACTTTACCTACATTAGACCTAGAAATCCCCCACAGAAGAACAACCTCTGGACAAACCTCTACCGGTCAGAGGGGGAAACTTCTGGAACAAACTCCCAACAAATATCAGGGAAGGTCCCACTTTTTACACATTTAAAAAGCACCTTAAACTGTTTCTCAAAAGTTCCCAGTCATGCAATCACTAATTTTAATTTAGTAATGTCATTGTCTGAACGTGTGTTTGGACTGATTTTATATTATGTGATTTTGTGTTGTTTGGTCTTCCTACCTCAGGACGACAGATGTAAACTAGCAACTATGCTATAATCTGGCTCATTTACAATTTGTATGAGATTGTTCATTAATGTGCACTGTCCGGATTAAATAAATAAATAAATAAATAAGTACTCACCTCTCAGCTCGGGCTCCAGCTGGCAGAGTCCGGCCTGAAAGCTTCCTCCTTCAGCCTCTTTCCCCCCTGTGAGAGCCAGCGGGGATCCGGTGAGCAGACGCTGCTGAATTATTCACACCGACTTCACCAGAGACGTATAAAGTACTGGAGAGAGATGGAAGTACAAAAAAAATTGACGTAAAAGTAGAAGTGTTCTTTCAACCCCATACTTAAGTGGAAGTAGGGAAGTACTCCATTTTTTTGTACTTAAGCATTGCAAGTAGAAATATTTCAAAAACTGCTACTCACTTATCGAAAGTACAAGTATAAGTAAAGTTTGATAGGTATTATTCAAACGTGTGAAAGACCATACAAGTGTTTACAGAAAACACAACACAATAAAACATCTCAAAAGGCCTCTGAACAGCAGAGATGTATAAAGTACTGGAGTAGAGGAGTGGAGAAGTACAAATACTATATAAAAAAATTCAAGTACAAGTTGAAGTATTCTTTTAACTCCATACTTAAGTGGAAGTACAGAAGTACTACGTTTGTTTTGTTCTTAAGTATTGCAAGTAGAAGTATTTCAAAAATTGCTACTCAAGTACAAGTATAAGTAAAAGTACAAGTACTGTGTATATAAAAAAAAGGCAGTCAAAAGTGTGATAGATATTGTTTATATTATTTCAAACGTGTGAAAGGCCATACAGGTGTTTACAAAAACAGAAAAGTACATCTGCATTAGCATCAACAGCACTTCATCTACTATTTATTATTCCAGAGTCAGAATCCTGAGCTGAGCCTTTATGCTAGCATGTAGCATACAGCTAGCCAGCTAGGTTAGCTTTAGCTAATGTTAGCTGCTACATCCTACAGGCAGAACTGAACTAGCGCTTAGTTACTAGCTTATATGTCATTGTATTTTTTAATTTACAGCTAGCCAGCTAGGTTAGCTTTAGCTAACGTTATCATATAGCTAGCCAGCTAGGTTAGCTTTAGCTAACGTTAGCAGCTACATCCTGATGTAACAGGGAGACCTGAACTAGCGCTTATTTACTAGCTTATATGTCATTGTATTTTTTAACTTACCTTGATATGCTTCTTTAGATTAGATGGGGAATTTTTGAAGGCCATGATTTCGCCATCTTTCAGGATACTTTTTTTTTTTATAGGCTATGCTTGATGGCTCAAATTGGCCAATGAGGAGCCAGCTTCCCAAACCCTGACAGAGCTATCTATCATTACGTTTATACATCAGTAACGAGTAACGATTCAACCCCTGAAAGTAAAAGTATTAAATTAATCAAAAATATGTAGTAAAATAAAAGTAGGGAACAAAATATATACTCCAATAAAGTACAGATACTGCATTTTGGTACTTAAGTAGTTCTACTTTGTTACTGCAAAAAAAGCCAGAAACAAGCCGCTAAAGCCAGAGACTTCCTGGTTAAAACTCGAGTTTATTGCAAAGCTTTTATATCTGGTTCCAAACGAGGCAAAAAGTCTGCTCAGGAAAACACAACATCAGCTAAGAATTTGATTTAAAATGTGTAGAAACGCGTTAAAAACGAATAAAAAAAACTGGATAGGATCAGTCCACGGGCCTCCTGGGCTTCTTCTTCTTCCCGTCCTTAAACAGTGGAGAACTCAGGAACGTGGTCTCCGTGAATTTGTCTCCTCGTCTCATTTTGCTGTTGAGAAACAAAAGGGAAGTCAGAAAATGGGTCTGAAACTGGGACTTTTAGGGTCTGAAACTGGATTTTTTAGGGTCTGAAACTGGGTCTGAAACCGGGTCTTTTAGGGTCTGAAACTGGATTTTTTAGGGTCTGAAACCGGGTCTTTTAGGGTCTGAAACTGGGACTTTTAGGGTCTGAAACTGGGTCTGAAACAGGGACTTTTAGGGTCTGAAACTGGGTGTGAAACTGGGACTTTTGGGGTCTGAAAAACTGGGACTTTTAGGGTCTGAAACTGGGTCTGAAACTGGGACTTTTAGGGTCTGTAACTGGGACTAAAACTGGGACTTTTGGGGTCTGAAACAGGTTCTTTTAGAGTCTGAAACTGGGTCTTTTAGGGTCTGAAACTGGGACTTTTAGGGTCTGAAACTGGTTCTTTTAGAGTCTGAAACTGGGTCTGAAACTGAAACGTTTAGGGTCTGAAACTGGGACTGAAACTGTAAATATGGGTGTGTGTTCTGGCCGTGGCCCGCCCCCGCCCCTATGTCACCCCGCCCCCCCCCTCTGGCCCCGCCCCCTCTCACCTGTTGAGGGGGGGCTCCTTGTAGCTGACCGGGCCGGGCCTCCTGCGGGTCCGGGCTCCGTCGGGGCTGCTGCGGGTGTTGGTGACGGTGCTCAGTGGCGCCGCCCTGCCGGGCGTTGCCGTGGCGACGGCGGCCACGGCTCCGTTTCCGGGCTCCGTTTCCACGGCACTGAGGTCGGCGAGCTGCCAGGGCGGCAGCTCGTCCTCCAGCAGTAGGGCGCCGCTGCTCGGGCGCCTGAAGACCAGGAAGGTCTCCCTCAGCCGCGGAGGCTCCGCCCCCTCCGCCATCTTGGAACGCTTCGAGGGCTTGGAGGGTCGGGGGCGTTCGGGGGCGTGGGGATTCTCGCCGCCGTCCCGGGAGGAGCCCGCCTCCCCGGCTTCTGCTCGCCGCCGCTTCCTGGAGCGCCGGGTCTTTGTGGGCGGGGCCTCAGTGGGCGGAGCCTCTGTGGAATGGGTATTTGTGGGCGTGGCCTCTATGGGCCGACTCTTTGTGGGCGTGGCCTCTATGGGCCGGGTCTTTTTGGATGAGGTCTTTGTGGGCGGGGCCTCTATGTGTTGGGTCTTTGTGGACGGGGCCTCTATGGGCGAGGCCTCTATGTGTTGAGTCTTTGTGGACGGGGCCTCTATGTGTTGGGTCTTTGTGGGCGGGGCCTCTATGGGCTGGGTCTTCTTGGACGAGGTCTTTGTAGGCGGGGCCTCCGGGTTCGGGACCCGTTCCAGGGTCCGGGAGGGGCTGTCGGGGGTCACGGAGATGACAAACGTTCCCCTGCATCTCGGCCTGTGATTGGTCCTCCTGGCCCCGCCCAAAGACTCCTTTGCTCCAGACAGGAAGTCCCGGGGTTTTGGTGGACCTCTGAGGATCTCATGGGGTTCTGACGGACCTCTAAAGATCTCATGGGGTTCTGACGGACCTCTAAATATCTCACGGGGTTCTGAAGGACCTCTACAGATCTCCCGGGGTTCTGACGGACCTCTCAAGATCTCCCGAGGTTCTGAAAGACCTCTAAATATCTCCCAGGATTCTGACGGACCTCTAAATATCTCCCGGGGTTCTTGTGAGCCTCTGAGGATCTCCCGGGGTTCTGACGGACATCTAAAGATCTCCCGTGGTTCTGACGGACCTCTAAATATCTCCCGGGGTTCTGCAGGACCTCTAAAGATCTCATGGGGTTCTGACGGACCTCTGAGGATCTCCTCTTCCTCGTTGCTCTGGTGAGCAGGACTCAGACCAGAATCTGGAGGTCTCGGGGCTCCCCTGGAGGTTTTCCTGGTCTTGGTTCTGGACTTCCTGCATGTGATCTTGGAGTCCCGTCGGCTCTCCTCCGTGGGATCCGTGAAGTAGTCCTCCAGGTCCGTCGGGCTCTCCGATTTGCTCTTCGGGACGTTCTGGCTTTTGCCTAATTTGGGGATCCGAGAAACCGTGACGTTCCGGCAAAGGCTGCTGGGAAACGGGGGCTCCGGCGGGTCATGTGACGGGTCG